CTCAAATGTAAATGTTGACACACCAAGCTGAATTAGGGTAGGCTAGGTAAGTGTTAGGGTATGCAGAAGGAAAAAGAAAAAATAAAATTAGAAAGGAAATTAGGAAAGAAATTGAAACAATAAACAAGAAAATTGCAAACTATTAACCTAAAAAAAAACATCAATAACACAACTCAACAGCATGAATTCAAACAACAAAATAAAAAACAAAAAAGTGTTGAAAATAGCATTACAAGCTAATGAAACTAACAGAAATACCAGAAACAACACCAGGAGCAACATCAAATAACACTGATGATGACACTAAAGACACCAGTGATGATATGGACAACACCAGCAATAACATAATGCCACCAGTGATGGCATGGCCTGAAAAAAGTTTTTAGCAAATGGGTCAAAACAGAAAAATGCAAATTAAAAAAAAATTACCATGATCATTATTTATATATTCCGTAATCAGAATGTATAGCAGTAGGACCCCGAATTACATACTGAGGGGTAAGGTTTTATAAAAATTACTAAATATAGAAAGATCTGCAAGAAAAGTCAAAAATAGGCAAACTAATTACTATAAATGGGGACGTCTAAAGTCATATGTTTTTGACTATTTGATAAAAATTAGGGTAAGGGTTAGTTGAGAGTTGACGTTAAGGCAATTCTTATAGTAAAATTGTTCTCCAGACATTTTTTTATTAATGCTTCGAGGCAGGTTTAGACACTCGATTCTTGTATTTCTTGCGTTTTTCGCTTTTTTTTTCTGTTTTTGTCTCTTCGGGCTGATCCGTTTCGATCAAAGCAAACACCTTAATTGGCTCTGTGCCATGTGATTGGACACGGCTTTAGACGACCCCTATAAATGGAAATAATCTGTCAAAAAAGGTCAAAACCTATCTATGTATATTTCGGGGTCCTATAGCAGTGCAGGGTACACAAATTAAATTTTTTTTTATTATATAAAAGGATAGCCTATAGTGCTATAGCACTATAATACTATGAAATAATTTGTAAAATCCACAAATTCCGATAATTTTAGAGGACTTATTTAAATCTATAAACTATAAATAAAGAAGTATAATAATACGAAATTTATTGTAGTATTTAATTCTAAAGATGATTTATAGAAATTAGCAATCAACAACAACGCGGTTACATGGTACCACTGGAACATATCCCTCGACATCTTTTTTAAATTTATTATCCAAATATTCGTTTACACCCACATAATTCAAAGTACTTTTTCTTATGCAGAAATCGATTAGCGCCTTAGCTTTTTTCTCGTTATCAATTCCGTAAATTAGCAACTTTTTTAAAGGTGCATAACAATTACTGAGCAAAATATCAATAAAAAACTCAAAATAAGAATCCATTATGTCAAGATATTGCAATGTTGATGGTAATATTTTTGCAAACTGTAAAACTTGTTCTTCTGGTGCAATGTTATTAGAAAACTCAAAATCCCATAAGATGAGAAATTGAAGCTTTTGTAAATTACCAATAAGATCTAGGAGTTGTGAGGAAAACTCGATATTATAAATATTGAGATATGTAATGTTTGGGCAGAAGGACTTAAGTGTTTCATTTGATCGAAAACCGTCATTTATTTCTACATATTTTTCAT